AGAGTTTGGGAACCCCATTCATTTTGGGAACCCCAATGCAAGGAAAAGACTTTAAAGGAAGAAGGACGCAACACGACGAACGATTTCTTTTGCGGATCTCCCAGGCGCGTTCTAGTGCGTGTACCACTGGCAGCGCTGGCTGCCAGGCCCAAGGTCGGCCCTTCACAGCGGGTGCCACTTGCTCAAGTGCATGGGTCATAACTTAACATTGAAGAGCGAGCGCTTCCGCCGGGACAACCACACACCAAGTGCATGTTGATTGGGTTGGACTCCACGGCAATTGCTGAAGTGGAAGCGCCGGTCTCGTCCTCGTTTGGGGTCTCCATGGCACCAGTCCAATGAGCATGTACTGCAGCAAACTGAGAGATTTGGAGCGCCTGATGATCACGTAGCCACGTGGTGTTCTTGGTCAAAGGAAAGGCGATTTGAGGCGGAGATCTCGCCCGTCCACGATCATCGCCGATTGGTTGCCCCGATCTGGGAAATGTGATCAGGCAATTGTGTCTTCAGGGCATTCTGAACTAAGTTCCCACGCGCCAATCGACCACACCTGAACTTCTTGTTGCCTCCACAAGCGTGTTTCTCCTGCAGTCTCACTGGAGTGATCCAAAAAGCCACGAGAGGCCTGGTCCACCGGTGGCGAATTCCATGCCACGTTTGCAGCTTTTGGCGGAGCCGAGCTGGCTTGAGTCCAACTGCTGGGCGGGCCCTGTGCAGATGGCTTCCCAGGATCTTCATCATGGGCCATGGATCATCCACGATTTGTTCAACTTGTGGAGTCACTTGCTGATCATTTGTCACCACCACCTGCTTTCGAACGGCAGCTGATGGAAGTGGGATGTCCGGGGGAGGGAGATTCTTGTTAATAACATGTCCAGGATATTTGTGCGGCACGGTGGATTTGAATCGATTCGGGACCCATCAGTTCAACTGTAGTGAGGCTGCTTAGAGATCGAGTTTTGAAAGGGGTGTTGCTTTATGTTTTCAGAGGGGTGCCACGCATGTAGGGAGATATCCAAGTTCCAAGGCTGTGTCACCAGCAACAATTGAGCCAATTTGTTTCTTGGGCCGCCCGTCTTGTCAGGTTTCCAGCAAAATTGGAGATGTTGCAACAATGCGCTTCTTGGCCAAACATCACATCGTCATCAGGGATCAGGCAGAAATCCAAAAAAACTCAAGGGCTTCATATGTTTAATGAGTGAGGTGTGTGAGCTTTCCTGAGATGATTCACAAGATTCGCAAGACTTCACTCGCTGCAAGCCATAATGTATATGATGAAATGCACTCACTTTAGGGCGACCATGAATACATGCACTACGCTCTGAAGATTAGGATTGGACAGACAGGTCCAGATCAGACAGCTGATCACTCTTAGTCGGATGGGCCTTGAGGCCTTCAAGCTCTTTAGTAGGCTCATGGCCGGGAAAAACTCAAGGGCTTGAGCATGCCGTGGCATGCAGTACTCAAAGACTCTTGCCAAGAAGGATAGGCTTTGCTTGAACACCTGGCGAAGCGCTTGGATCCATGCACGGAGTTTAGACAATAAGCAACCTTACACTGACACTTTATATACATTTATATACATACGTGCATGTTTCAAGTGTAGGCAGTAGGCCCTGGGCAAAGCTCACTGTGCAAATTGGGGATCGAGAAACCAGTGTTTGCTCTTTGATCAAAGGCTGACATTCTTTGACACACAAACACCGAATTGAGGAATTGGAGCCGCTATCGCGTCAGTGGTCATTTGTTTGTACGGATTTGCATCTACCGAGGCAGGGCCGGGCCCTTTGGGTGCTGGTGACAGAGAGGTTAATTAATCAGTGTTCTCGCAGTTTGTTTTCGTGTATTGTGCAGGTTTGTTGGGGTTTATATTCATTTCAGTCCGATTCACCATGTCGGTCCAAGATACTCTTGGTGTCAATGCTATGTGTGAGCAGCCTGGAGGAATGTTGATTGACTAGTTGAATCCTTGTCATTCTTTCGCCATCTTGGACTCCTGAGCTGCGGGAACTCACAAGGTTGGGGCACTTCTGGTTCACATTGCCTGGTCTTTCTTTCTGTAGCCGGTAGCCGTGCCTCGGCATGATGCCAAAATCTATGCAATGATATGCAATGCGACTTGCCCAACGAAAATCTCCGCAAGGCAAGCCAAACCAACCCAAGCCAACCAAGACCAGACCCAGTCACACATATAATATATAAGTATATCTATCTATATATGTACACACACACATATCTGCCAGAAAATCCCTCAAAGTTCCCACACTGCTGCGCATACTGGCCCCCAGCCCCGACAGTAGCAGGAAGTCTGATCTAGAATCTCCTGCAGTGCTGCTCAAAATGTTCAAACCCGACAAAATCTAGTGGTGTGCCAGCTATGGCCTGTACACGCTGAAAGAGACTCTTTTGCATGCATCGTGATGATGTTTTCTCCGTCTTGATTTTGCGTGTCTTTTTCTCCAAGGGGCTCTCGAAAGAGAAGGACGATGGCCTTGTGTGGCCGCTGCCGTATCAACATGAGGGTAATTGCACCACCCAGATGAGTCTGTGGTGCTGCGTGCAGATGACTGAGAAAGTGCGTGGGCCCATGAGCCGGACATCATGAAGCAGAGTTCGCAAGTGATTCCGCCCGCCCTCCCAACCCAACTTATCAAGCTAAAAACACACCAGCAAGAGGCGATACGCCCTTCCCCATGAACTCCTTTCTAACTCCTTGTAATGCCAACGCCAAGCCTGGTCACCCATCCACCATCAACAAAGACCTGGCTTGAGCTTTGTGAGCACAAGCCGATTTCAAACACTGTGCTGAAATGTGAGTCAGGCAAGTGCAGCGGGGCAAAAACGTGGTGAGTGCACAAAGCTTGGCCGTGGAGTGCATCATGCATTAAAGATGGGGTAGAAAGGAATTGGAATCTTAGTTGGTGAGGATGGGGGTCGTAGGTGATTGTGTAATTAATTTCTGCAAATGTGGTGCGCGACCTTTGGAGAGTCCTTCGAAAAGCGCTTTTGACACAATGCGCCGGGGTCTTGTCTGACCTACGGTATGGGTGTATAGTATATTGACATTTAACATCATCCTAACCGCAGTGTACAGAGCACTGTTCTTCACAAAAGTGCCCAGTGTAGAACCTCCCTGTCTGACCGCTTCAGCCTGGCAGGTGTGGCACATTTTGCTGCTACATGGGTCAATGGGTACCTTGGCGCAGTTGGTGGCTCCGTCTTGGCCGCAAAGCATTTTTCATTTTTCTTGTTTCTATCTGGGTTCTTCTTGCTTGTTCGGTTTTGGTGTGAGGCGTGGGCCTTGGCCTCTTTGTTCCTGCTGTTGGCCCGACACTGCAGAGGTATACTTCCCTTGCGCATCCGAAGAAGGCAAGATCCCTAGGAGTGTCCTGGTAACAAGCGTTCTTCATCCAAAGTAGTTAAGTCCATTTACAAAGGGGAATTAACATGGAGAATAAATCAAAGAAGAAAGAACAACACAAGAAGGTTCAAAGATGTCTAAAGCTTAAGGTCTAAAGAACACAAGAGAACAATTGGCAGAACCAAATTGACGTTCCCCGAGTTCAGGCCGGCGATGTGCATGCAACCAGTTAGCTGGCGCATGGACCTTGTGAACTCCACTTCTGTAGTAACAGGTGCCTTACTAGTAGTAACAGGTGCCACGCTAGTAGTAACAGGTGCCTTACTAGTAGTAACAAAGAAGCTATTAAAAAGTATTTCACACCCCAGGAGTTTCACAACCATGGTTTACACTTGATAAGGGCTCATCAAAAGTGTGACTCGCAGTCTCTCCGGTGGGTCATAAAGGCAGCCTAAGATGATTGCAGGATTTGCAATGATCGGCGAGCATAGACTCTCCTTCTATTGGGAAGGCATTTGTTCTGAGACCTGCACTGCAAGATTCTCTTCCTGCACGGTATCCATTTGATTGAGGTTTGCATTCCAGTACTTCTCACTAAACATACTAAACCATTCAGAAGCCATCCTTTGGTCATTCTCCTCCCTTGTGTTCCAAAGACTTCTTCAATGCAGACTGGGTAATACTGCACCTTCTGCCAAGGTGACATCCTTGGACGTCTGAATCACACCACATGGCAAACCAGAGTTGATCTTACGACGATGTCCTTTCGCGCCTTCTTTTTTCTCCATTGACGCATTTTGTTTTGAGCCTAAAGCCGCGGTACCATCTGCAGGCCTGCGCTTGAGGTGTTTTTGCTCAATTACTTGCGGCAGGGTTGGTTTGGCACATCTGAAGGACATTCACCGCAGATTCGGACCCACTGCAGATTGCATTTCCTCAAGACCCAGGCTAGGTGATCACCTCAGAATCTGCGCTCGCAGGACTGGGGGTGGACAATTCCTGGAATCTCCAGCTCAGATCCTGTTGGGGAATCTACCTTGAGTGTGATGGTTCGTTTCTTTTTTTGCTTGTGTATAGTTGGTGCTCAAGCTTGGTGGTGGGCAGGCTGGATTGGCAGGCCATGTCTTTCACTGGACTGAATCGACCCCATATCATGAGTAGTCCAAAAACAGCGCCGCTTGTCCGTTTCCATTTTGTGCAGCGGATGGGAGGGACCAGATCGACTGCTCATGTTTCTCGAGAACTTACGCAGGAACAAGAAGCTACTAGGGGCTCCTGGCATCGCTACTAGGAGCAAGGACGCTCCTAGGGGCTCCTGGCCTTACTACTAGGAGCAAGAAGCTATTAGAAACAATAATTCATTAGACATTAGAATTGAAAGAAGAAGCTACATGTAGCTGGGCGCATGCAGTTGGGGCTCTCCTTCCAGCAGGTCAGTGAGACAGTGAGAGCTGACCAACAGCTTCAAGTTGGCTGAGAAAGTGCCTCCTAAGCTCAGTATCAAGGTCCGTGAAGTTCTGGGTCTAAGTTCAGTGCTCTGACTTCCAACCCCACCAACAAACCCTCTCATGGCAATGCTCATCACACAGAACAGGTTGTGGCATATTACACTTGCACAAAAATGCTGTGCCGTCTCTTGATCATCTACCGGGTAGGATGCTGTCAGAGCGATGAGATGGTTGACTAACAATTTTTTGAACACAACTTAAAATTCAACAAGGAAGTGCCTCAGGCACATGCCACCCTCGAAGAGCGAACAAAAATTCTGCGTTTCCCGTGGCTCTCAGAACCTTTGAACGAGGTGATGTGCTGGAGAAGCAGTGTTGACTTTGGAGTGACTGGGCCTATGTTTGGAGACAGCTTCAATTGCCTGCACGTAGAACAATTCAACTGGAGACCTGCGGCATTTGGACGCAAGAAGGGAGACTAAATCCCATCCGTGGGTGGAGTGGTTTGCGCATTTGAATGTGCTCGAGCTACAAGATCGCATGAATCTAGGCCCCATGCAGAGGTAGAGCACAAAGACCTCGAAGGCAGGGCCAACAAAGTCAGAGTAGAAAGCAAGGACGGAAGGAATCCGTCCATGCTAGCTGTGAGCTTCGGTGCTATTTGCCACTGACGACGCTGTGCCCTCCCTGCGCCTCTTGATTGACTTCGTAACTTGCTGGACAATGGCCACTTCGTGATCCTTTAACCTATCTCTTGTGCCGCTTCCAGCTTTGTTACACTTTGATGGTTGGGCAATCTGGGATGCTCAGCATTCTCTTGGAGCGGCTGCTTAAATCCACTGTCTTTTCATGTCTTTTCACCCTCTTTGTTTCGGTGGTGGGTGATTTACGTCCAATACGAGAATTTTGACTTCAACTTGTGCAAAGTTCCAGGAATCTCTTTAGCATCAATTTGTTAAGGACCTGCAACCTGTAGCACAACTCTCATTGCAACCTCTTCCCTGTGGCCTACAGTACAACTATCATCTGGCCTTTTGGGCTATTTAACTTTGCTTTGCATTGGCAGGCTGCTCAGGCGAGTGCGCTGCCGCTTTTTGGCATGCAGATTGGCCAGGCCACCATTGTCATTTCGTTGCGACTTGAGAACCCTCGCATAGCCGCTTTTTTTCCCTTCCCAGTCCCATTTTCATGCTGCATTTGCAATTTCGTAGGGAACGCAGTAGGTTGTCATAATGTTTCGAGAACTAACATAGTTTCGTTTGAGAGAATTGGACTCAATGTAAAGAGCTTAGCACTCTTCCCCATATCATGTTACCCCTACTCCTTTAAATCACAACTGCTTTTCAATGAGGGTTCGAGATTCCAGTTGCATCCAGCACTAACGGCAGGTTGCTGGGCAGCCTCTTTTCAGCGCAATTGTAGGCGATGGTCAGGACGCGTTATATCACAGTCGCATGCACCATTGCAATCGATATTTTATCTACAATCCCTTCAGCTGTTCAGAAAATAACTTACGACCAGAATGTACTACATATATAGATTCACATGCTTTTGACTGAGCGTATACCTCCACTCGTATCCCATCATAACCCAGAGTCACAAACACACACACTCTGACATTGGTTTGCTGTGAACTCAATTCCCATGTCGAGAAGGAAGGTGAGGGAAAGGCAAGGCGAAAGGTCCAAAGATTTGAAGATGTTTGAACAAAAGGTTTTCGCACATCTGCAAGTCACGAGAACAGCGGTGTCGAGCAATCAGCGCGGCTGCACATCTGCGGTGGAAAAGTGGGTTTAGGGGAAGAAACATGTAAGGACCATGGAAGCAAACCAAACGAATTAGACAGCTTGATCAAAAGTTTCAGTAGCAGGTGCACAGATTGGCGTCCCAATCTGCTTCACGGAATATCCACAGCTGTCTTCGCTGGCAGCAGAACTGTGGATTCCCTGCTGCCCCCTGCGTGAACCCTTGGAAACAGGGGTTGACACACACACGGTGCCGCTTGGCGGCGCTCGCGTGGAAGGCCTGAATAGATACCCAAAAAGCCTTAGAAACACAAGAAAGAAACACAAGAAAGAAACACAGAAAGAGCAGCGCTAAGAGGGCAAGAGAGAACGATAGGTGTAGAAAAATGAAAAAATGAATACTTAGCCCTTGACTGGGGTAGGGAAACGCGCCTCAAGAACAACCTAAAAAGCCTGAGAGACAGCCCAAGAAACAACCAAAAGCGCAAGAAAGAAAGTGGGGGGCAGGGAGGGGATGTATGTGGCATGTGTGTGTCCGTGTGTATGTATGACTACCTAGCACTCTAGGGTTACTGACTACTTAGCAGAAACGAATTACGTGCAATAGTTAGGGAGCGGGACTTTAGTCTTAAACCGCCCGGGTAGAGTAGACTAGAAAAGGGGCAACAGAGGGAAAGGCACCGACACAAGTGTGTCGAGTACCATTTCCCTGTGTTACCCTAATTAGGTAGGGAGTAGAACACGGTGGGGGGGGGTTGGGAGACCTGCCTCCAGTGGGTTGAATTCCGTTTTTTAGCCCGGCGGCTATAGTATCCGTAAGAAGCCCGGCGGCTTTCAATCCTGTTAATTCAGTATTGGCATGGAAGAAGTGACAGTGATCTACGATGAAACGGCGGTAATTCAGGAAGACGATTTCCGGTCTGAAAACAGCGCATCCTTGCGGAGGATCACACCCAGCACCCAAGTGGGACGGCTGAGCGGTTCACACTCTGACATTGGTTTGCTGTTAACTCAATTCCCACGTCGAGAAGGAAGGTGAGGGAAAGGCAAGGCGAAAGGTCCAAAGATTTGAAGATGTTTGAACAAAAGGTTTTCGCACATCTGCAAGTCACGAGAACAGCGGTGTCGAGCAATCAGCGCGGCTGCACATCTGCGGTGGAAAAGTGGGTTTAGGGGAAGAAACATGTAAGGACCATGGAAGCAAACCAAAAGAATTAGACAGCTTGATCAAAAGTTTCAGTAGCAGGAGCACAGATTGGCGTCCCAATCTGCTTCACGGAATATCCACAGCTGTCTTCATTGGCAGCAAAACTGTGGATTCCCTGCTGCCCGCTGCGTGAGCCCTTGGAAACAGAGGTTGACACACACACACAGAGTCCTGCCAAGAACTTCCTTGCGCAGCTGTGAGTGATTCTACCATTCCCTTCCCCACGGTCACGGACTCACAAACTGCAACTGTATCCTTGCACAGCTCTTGCATGGCGCAATGATCCGCCGCTCTCACACAATGTACCAAATGTTTTTACTATGCATTTGCGGAGAAATCACCCAGTGAATTAATGTTTCCCTTGTCGCGGCTATTGTTGTTCCCCGAGGGGCCCCGCGAGCCCGTTGGCCCGCAAGTCTGTCAAACTGACCTCAATGAGAAAGGATATATTACGAAAGCCAGCCGATAGGCTAGGCTTGAGCTCTTAGAGCGAACGAAGAGAGTTAAGGGGGTGTGGGGGGGGAGGGCGCGAAAAGGCACCTTTTGAGAGGGTGAACCCGGAGCTTGGTGTGGGAGAGCGCTCCAAAGCGAGGGTCAGAAAAGCAGTGAAAATGGGGTCTGGTGATGCAAGTGATGCAATGGACGCCGAGTAGTGCATCATTAGCATCATGAAGGGGTCTGGAGACAATTTTTCTAGTCCTGAGCAGGGCATAGGGACTGTGTAGCTTTGGTCATACCAAGAAGGACCAAGCAACAAAGAGTGAACGCTCTGGGAGCGAACGATGTGAGCATGTCCAGTTGGGCGAGATGGAGGCTTGGGGATAAGAGCATCGCAAAAGGAGAAGCAAGAAAGCTGCAAGCGTTCAACGCTTCATGCTGTGCTCCGATCTTGATCTCAGTCGCAGTGATACCAGCTCCACGAAACTACAAGCTTTCAACTATAGGTGCTCTGCAATTTTTTCCTCCCAGCCCTGCTCTCTATAGGGCTTCGCATTGATGCACGATACCCGAAACACATTTCAACACAACAGCAAGAACCATTTCAGGCATCATTCTCCTGGTGTTCACTGACGTTTATTTTTGCACAGATTCTCAAATAGAACACCAACAAGGGACACTCCAGAAGGCGCCGCGCCAAGCAAATCAAGAATACTAAAAACATTCAACACTTCATGCTGTGCTCCGATCTTCATCTACGTCGCAGTGATACCAGCTCCACCAAAACTACAACCATTCAGGAATGAGCGCTCTCCTTTTTTTTCTCCCAGCCCTGCTCTTTATGGGGCTTCGCATTGATGCACGATGCCCGAAACACATTTCAAAACAACCAAAAACCACCTTTCGGGCATCCTTCTCCTGATTTTACACGGATTCTCAAGTAGACCACCAAACAGGGACGCTCCAGAGAGCACCGCGCCAGGAAAATCGAGAAAACCTAACGCATTCAACGCTTCATGCTGTGCTCCGATCTTGATCTACTCCACGTTGATACAAGCTCCACGAAAGCTACAGGCATTCAACAATAAGTGCTCCGCTACTTTTTCCTCCCAGTCTTGCACTACCATATTGGTTTCTCGCTGGCTTTCGTCCTCTCCTTTCTTAGGTATATATATATACAATATATAGCGGTTGAAAATGTCAGTTATGTTCTGGGGGATCAGTGGGTGTCTGCTGGCGCGTGAGTTAGGAAACTATGGTTTTGGAGAAGGTCCCCGTCCATTCCCGAGCTCACGTCAACCTTCCTGGGCCTCCAACTCACCGTCCATAACTCCATATCACAAGCAGAGTGAAGTATGTGTTCTTTGGCAGCTCCAGCATGCCAGGACTTTATGGCCATGACCAGCTCACATGCACACAAGTTGGGACTGACTTGCAATATTTTTGCCCAAATATGGGATCGGAGTCGGAGCGCTAGAGTTAACATCCTTACAGTAAATCAACCTTATGTTGCCATGAAGCGGGTAAGACGTAGTAGACGAGTTGTGCTCATCCAAACGGCCAGCAAGAAGGGTTGACGTTGTTGAGCGAGTGAGGGGCCCACTAAGTCACTAATTTTATCCAATCAGGCGTCAAGGAACTTCACGCACATATGCGATATTTTTTGTATTTTGGTGTCTTCCATCTCCGTCCGGCGCGACAGGATGGAACCAAAGGGGCGTGATTGAAAATTGGGTCAGCATAGGCCCAGCCGGCAAAGCTAAGCCGCGCACTAGGCAGTGCCACCCTGCAGCGGCGCCAGCGCCCAGGCGAAGATCCACGCGCTGGTGGTGGAGACTGAAGAGCATCTGAGCAAGATCAAGTGGATTAGAAGTGAGAAGGCAGCAAGGGCGTCTATAGTGGTCGCCCGAAAAGAGAATCAGTCGGAGCTGAAGGAGGTGATTGTGGTGGTGCCCGCAAAGTGGAGGTTTGTGCAGCGCATCGAAGCATTGAGGGACAAGACAGGAACAGACGAACTGAGCGAGCTGGTCTACAACTGGCACTTCTGGAACATCCCGGCCTACGCCGGACTTGCATTTGGGACACCAACACCCCTTGCACCTGTGGAGACGAAGACATTCATCCCCAAGGTCGCCGGGTGGAAGGTGATGGCTGAAGAGAGCTTGAGGCAGGTTGCAACGGCCTTGGAGCGGTTGGCATTGAATCAGTCTGCACAGGGCTGGGCGAGGCATCTCAAACGACCGGATGTCTTTAAGCCTGAAGGGAGAGATGCAGTGATGCAGAGCTGAAGTTGTGGGGAGACTGGAAGTTTGTTTTCCTCAACTATGTGAAAGGGTTGGATCCCTCGATGGCGGCCAGTATGGACATGGTCGAGAACAATGTGGACGCCAACTATGACATCGGTGACATGACCGATGAAACGAAGGCAAAGGCCGTGAGACTCTACAGCCTGCTGACTTCGTATGTGAGGCAACGACCATTGAAGCTGATTCGCCATGTCAAGAGCGAGAATGGGTTCGAAGCATGGCAGAACCTCTTGAAGGAGATGCAGCCGGCGACGAGGGCCAGGTCACTAGCCCTCCTGAGCCAGCTATCCCGCATTCAGTTTGCGGAAGGCAAGACAGTGTCGGAACAGCTGCCGCATCTACGAACTCCCTGATGCCTCCCACTAGGACCACCGGTGACGAGGCAACTCCAATGGAAGTGGACTACATTGGAAAGGTCGGCAAAGGCAAGAAAGGCTTGAAGGGAAAAGGAAAGGAAGCCAAAGGAAAAGACAAAGGAAAGGAGAGAGGAAAGTATGGCAGCAAAGATGGAAAAGGTGCGTGGAAGGGCACCGAGAAAGGCAAGAGCTTCTGGGAGAGGAGTTCAGCGAAGAAGGGAAAGCCAGCAGAAAAAGGAGGCAAGGGCACAAAGAGTGGGGCTTGCCATGTTTGTGGCAAAACAGGCCACTTTGCTCGAGAATGCTGGAAGAGAGTGAACCAGGTTGAGGAGCAGCAGAACCCAGGAGGAGCAAGTTCATCGTCTACAGGACCAGCTGGAA